AAATGCTAAATCTACATGGGGTAAGTTATTCTAAAATTACAAGCTAAAGAAAAATACTTACTGAAACAGGTTTCATCACGGAATGCCATATGTACAGAATGTGGTAAAAATTTAGCAAGTACAATATAAAATTTAACAAGTACAGTATAACTAATTTCCTATGAATTTAAACCAATATAACAGGTAATCCTGCCAAGTACTTTGAAGTGAATATTAGTTATCATATTATATGTAGAATCAAGGAAGGGTTTTAATTTGTAAGAACATATTATTCACTAGCTGAACAAATTCCATCTTTAAAAAAATTGTGGAATTGTAGGATCATTTCTAGTATAAAAGTAGTAAAGCCTATCATAGAATGCAACTTCAGAGAACCAGGATACTAAAGAAATAAAAATATATCATCTGTAAGACAACCCATGTATTTTCTGAGATGGTAGGACTAATGGAAGTTTTAAATATTAAATGTTATCTTTACAATGATTTCCAAAGGAAAAAAATTACAATAAATTGGCATCGGCATGTTTAAACGTTAAGTACAAATCACCTAAATAATTATTTGTAATTCACACATTTTTGTGCACATAAGATTTTAAAACTTTTTGACAGCTCTTAATCGAATGCTATTTTTCTCAAAACAGTGTATGCCCCTGAACGCTCACCCAGTATAAGATATAGAACTCATTATTTTTATCAAGTATCCTTTAAAAAAAACCCACATTGGTATTTTTTATTTCTACTTGCAATGTTCTTTATGTAAACACAGAGGGATGGCCACTAATTAACTCAGATCTAACTTTCAGAAAATCTAACTAAAAAAAAAAAGAGTAACCAACAAAACAAAAACAAAAACAAACCAAACAAAAAAAAGTCCCTATTTTAAAATCTTATATAATTTTGTCAGTGGTTTAGAAATTTTTTAACCTGCCATCTCCTCCTCAACCAAATAAAGATAGCATAGCCTCACTATTAATATGATTCCATGGAAGAGGGACTATTGTTAATAATTATTTTGTATTTTAAGAATGCACATATATAGGACAATGCACACAAGATATTTATTCACATTTCCGAATTCTTGCCCCACTCCAAAATAATTACACTGAGAGTTAGAATTTGCATAAGGGATCAAATGGACTATTTTGTAATCACTAATAGTTACTTATCATAATTTAAAATCCTTTCCCACAGCATTCCTTATTTCTTCCCTGTTTTTTGATATTATTTGCAGAATGTGTAATAAATCAGTATATAACGAATGTAATGAACTAGTAGACACTGAGTTCTCTACAACCAAATGAAGTTTTTTTTTGTTTTTTTTTTCAAATTAATGAGTTCTGCCAAACAGGAAAACAAATAGTCCAGTAAGGCTTTTGTAGCTATAAAGTGTATTTTAGCCTAATATATTAAAAAAATAAATGAATTGATTTTTTTCTTTTAGACTTCATATGAATTATTTACATAACCAAAATCTATGAATTTTATAGTTTCCTAATTAAGTGTGGATTCTTATGCCAAATATTACACCTAATTCCTAAAATCAATAGGATTCAAAATTCAAGATTTGCACAGGAATATACTTTGAGTTTTAGGCATGGGAGAACTTACATGATATATAAAAATTTGTTCCTCTACTCTCAAAGAAAAATACAAAATATCAGGGGAAAACACACCAAGGACAACTAGAAAAATCACAATTTGCAGCAGTCATTTAGTAATGGACAAAGATTCACTGTACCTCCATGACTAGTAATTGAAGTTGAATATTGTAATCTTGGATCAATCACCTTTTGTCCAAATCTTACACTTACCAATGTGGAAAAAATGTAGAATAAAATTATAGTTTCCCTCAGAGTTGCTAACTCTGTTCTGAGTAGATCTTTTAGTCTCCAGTCATAAGATGCATTCACTTTAGAAATATTTTTAAAAATCATTTCCTAAATTTTTTTTATCAATTTTAATACTGAGGTAAAAAAAATTTTCTAGAGGAAAAAGGGTACATATAATTTACAATAAAAAAGATCAACAGCTTGATTGTTTACTCTGGGTGAATTATAGCCTTTCGTTCTGATAAAAGCCTACTAGGATTTACTAGTCATTTTGGAAAGGCAGTTATTATATCTAGGATATTTCATGTCCTCCAAGAAGCTCTCAGGGGTGATAACTAAACTCAACGTAGTGTACTGTATTAAATATTAAAGACGCTGGATAGAAAGGTAAAGTCTAATTCTAATGATTACTTAAAGAAAATCATCTTATATAATGCTATCTTTCTGAATCACTTAGTGGTAATTAACTGATTTTTTCATATTTACTCAAAATTTTATTTCCTCTTTTAGGACTTAGTAGAGATTGATCAAACAATGCGTGAAGTTTATCACCAGTGTTACGTTATTTCCCTTGTCAAAGAAAATAAAGCTATATAAAAGCACATTCTAAATTTTTAATTCTTTCCTGATTGTTTTCTTCTCAAATTTTTCCATTCATGCAAGAAAAGTTTACTGAACACCTATCACATGCCAAACATTACTGCAGATGGTGGAAATACAGTAGTGATTAAAGCAGATGAAAGGACTTATGTTCTAGTAGAAGTATAAACAGAAAAGCATATAAATAAAACATGTAGATGGTGTGTGGCAATAAATACCGTAAAGAAAAATAAGGCAGAAAAGGAGACAGGAGTAAAGATTTTAGAAAAGAGAAGTCTCAATTTTCAATTTTAATTATAGTCATGAAAGTGAAACTTGAGCAAAGACCTAAAGGAAGTGAGGGAAAGAGCTATAAGGATATCTGAAGAGCTTTCCAGCTGGAGAAACAGCAAGTCAAGGACTCTGAGGTAGCAGTGTTCCTGTTATGTTCAAAGAACAGCAAGGAAGCCAGCAACAAGGCCAAGTGAGCAAGGGATATAATAAGAGATGAGGTCATCTAGGACCAGAGCATGTATAGACCCTTGTAAGTCGTTGCAAGAATTGGTTTTCATTGTGGGTCAAATGAGAAGTTCGTGAAAGGTCTGCAGGAAAGAAGTGACCTGATCTGACATGCCCTTTACAAGGATCATTCTGGCTGCTCTTTTGAGGATAAATTAAAAGTAGGAAGATTAAATGGCTCTTTTAATAATGAAGTAAGGGTTGCTGATGGCTTGGGTCAGAATACTCACAGCAGAAGTGGAAAAATAGTAAGGTTCTACATATAACGTAATGGAAGAGCTGCCATGGATTTATTGATGGATTGGATGGGTTATGAGAGAACAACTGAAATCAAGAATAAGCATCAGGGATTAAACCCTGAGCAAATATAAGGATGGAGTTACCAATGACAGAAAGGAGGGAAACTGTTGGAGGAAGAGGTATGGTGGCAAGGGGCAGAAGAAAAATCAGGACCTCGGTTTTGAATGTTAACCCATAAATGCTTATTATACCTCTACACAGAGTTAGTGATTTTAATAGACAGTTGGACACATAAGTCGAAAGTACTGGGAAAAGGATCCAGAATGCCAAAAGATATAATAAATTTAGGATATCATCAACAGAATCAGTATATATAAGAATGCCCAAATTGAGCCTTGATATTCAAATGATTACATAATAATACATTGAGCCTGAGATTTACAAGTAATATCCCACACCAAATTTTGTACAACAGAAACAAAAAGTAAGCATCCTTAGGTAACTACATTCTAAATATACATTCCCTGTGGCTTTAAGATCCAAGAAGTAAGGGAAAAGGAAAAGGAAAAGGAAAGGGAGAGACATTTAAGGGAAGAAAGGGAGACTAATAGACTAATATTTAATCTCATTCTGATTTCCACCAAAGCACTGCTACTGGCAGAAAGGGCTGGCTAGGGATGTACACAGCTCTAAGCTTCTTGTGAGATTCATGCAAAAATATATTTGCATCATCCCTATCATGTGCTAGGCACTAAGTAAGTACTGAGTATTCAACGGTAAATGAAGCAAACATAAATTGCTTAAATATGAGGATGGATAAAAAGTACACAAGTAAGTATACAACTACAAATTGTGGGAAATGCCATGAGAACATAATATGGGGGACTGTTCTTAGATTGAGTGATTATACAAAGAATATAACATGAAAGCAAGCTTAAAATTTCTCTAAAAATCTAACTATTCAGTTTTACATAATTACATAATTGCCATACAAACCTGCTTTTCTCAAGGTTCTCTTCCTTTTTCCTTTAATTTTCCATTGTTTAGACATGAAGATTGCTATATTCTTGTAGTCAGTAAGTAGATGCTCAAAATATTTTATATAATTTTTATAAATGAGCATTACATTGATAATTTGTTATTTATAGCCACACCCACGAAAAATATATTTTTAGCTCTAAATGTATTTTGTGAGTACCGAATTTATATACTCAAATTAATAAAACACTCATAGCAAAACTAATGGTAAGTTCTTAGTGGCTTAAGGACTGACAATAAGAAACATCTTAAATTTTATTTCATTAGAACATTTTCAGTAGCATTCCTACTTCACTCTCAGTAACTCAATATGATATAGTTCCATATCGAGTGACAAACTATGTTATTTAATAACCCAGGTCATCAAAGTCAATATCCCATTTTATTTATGAGACACCTGTGTCAAGAGTAGCCACCAAAAAAACACACAAACAAACCCAGTGTTTGCTCTTGGGTGTAAAAATGAGAGAACCTAGAAAAGTACACACTACCTATAAAAGGAATACTTAATACTATGTAACTGAAAAATTAACTATAAGCAAAGATCTTAATTAAAATGTATATAAGCTTGCTGCATAGACATTTTGACATTTCTTCAAGTAAAGTAACACCACTTTACATATGTGGTTCAGGTAGGGTTACTTTATTATATTTCATTTTGATTATTTGGAAAACCTCACAGTGAGTAATCTGTATATTAGCAAATATAAATTACCAACTAGAACACAGTGTTATTATGACTGTTGTTATAGGAATAATTTAAGTAACTCATTTTGCGAGTAGATAGTAACTTACCTGAAATGTAGATGACCTTTTGATCACTTCTTTGACCAAGGGAATTGGTCACTTTACAGACATAAACACCAGAATAATTGAAAGTCAAGGGATGGACAAAATGAAGAGTATTGTCTGAAGCCAATAAACCATCAGGCCACTGTCCATCCAACCTAGATTTTAAAAAGCATGAAATTATTTTAAGCAGCTTCAGACTTTATTCATTGATAGCTATTTAAATAAAATATTATACTTTTGAGATGTTAGTGATTCAAGAACTGGCATTCCTTAGGTAGAATTCACTATGAAATGGAAATATGTAAGATATGAATTTTCATTTCAATAAGAATGAAGTAATTGATAAAATCCATTAAGAATACCCATTTTTTCAAAATAGCAATTGACATAAGTGCAAGAAGGCCAGCATATTAGAACGGGAGGGAAGGAAAGAAAAAAAATTAGGTGATTTTAAAGAATTATATTCAGAAAACTGGAAAACTAGAAAAATATATTATTTGAAGACCTACAGTATCAAAAGAATTAAAAAAAATAACTCTCAGTGAATAGATCTATTCATGATATATCTACAAATTTCTTAAGAAATTTAAGATAAAAGCCACTTAAGTACATAATGTTTTAGCACCTTCCATAACATATTTAAATATTTTTATGTAACATATTAAATATTTAACATATTCAATTCATACTGAGCAAATCTATACTGTGCCCCATTCAAAGATAGTTTCTAAAGCATCAAAAAGGGTCTTCTTATAAAATAATCTCATTTGTAAAGTGGGCATCTGTGACGGTAAAAACCAACGTGCCATTCTGCACCAATTAACAATTTTTAAAAATGGTGTCTATACTAATTTGGCTAAGAGGTCTAGTGTATGCATTACTATAAACCACAATAGGAATAAAATCCCACTATGACAACTCTAAAGCCATTCACTGCAATGGAACTAAGTATACTGTTATGCATCATACTGCCAACCTTAGGGTACCAAAAAACACACCAAGAGGCATTTATTTTGAAATTATTTTTAAAGCCCATTATTTTTTAGGGGAACAAAAAGTCAAGTAAACCAGGCACTCAACTATTACAGTTTGAGCTAAGCAGATTTTCAAAAGGTTCATTTATTCATTCACTCAGCCATCCATTATTTAATTGCCAGGAGCTTAATATTAACCATACTCTGCTCTGCTGGTGTTGCTGAGATACAGAAGTAAATAAGATACTGTATTTGCTTTCAATGATCTAAGTACACAGAAGACTGACAACTAATTACGAAGAGAATAAGAACAAAAAATAATAAAAAGGTAGAAAGAAACAAAACCAACACTGGACAATAGGAGGAATGATTTTGTTCTGCAAATCCAAAGGTCGTAGGTGGAAGAACAGTCAATAAAATCTTTTACAGTGCAGGAACTTCAATTTACATTGAAGAAAAAGGTAATATTCTTACATGGTTTAAAAAACAAAAACACCCAACCTTCTAAAAAACTTTGATAAGAACATTTGTACAAGCACCGACTTTCAAAAGATGAACTTCTAGGAGGATGAGAATGAATATGGAGTATATAAATACCAATTATCTCTCTACATTTTGAGGCCCAAATTCTAATCCCTTTAATTCTGAGAAATATAAAAATGGCTTATAATCCTTTAAAGTTGCTTATTCAAACAAGCCACAGTCAAAAAAAAAAATCTAAATATCACATTAAACTCACAGCAAATGACATGCTAAGCAACTTCTATACTCTTTTACCTATGTTACCTGGTTTATATTCATTGTCTCTACCCTTACAACTCTATAATTTACTATTATCAGTGAGGAAACAAAGGATTAGAGAGGTTAGATGTCTTATTCAAAAAGACATTTCCAAGTACAGATACTAGGAAGGGAACTTGAAATTGTATGACTTTTAGAAATAACATACCACACATCTTAACCAATGACTGCGCTTCCCACTTTTAAGAAAATGTAAATGAAAAAAACCTTCTCTACTTTAAAAACTGCATTTTTGCTTAAAGACAACAGATTGACCAAATACACTGTTTCCTTACTCCCACAAAATCCCACCTAAAACAAGAGTAAAGGAATTAAAAGCTATTAAAAACCCACTAGGAGAAAGAGAACAGGAGGCAGAATTCATCAGATAAGATGTTTCAACAAACTTTTAGAAGTTTGAAAACAGACTGAGGAAACAATATATGCTATGAGCCACTGTTTCTCAGTCAAGAGTGATTTTGTCTCCAGGAGACAACTTGCAAGTCTGGAGACATTTTTGGTTTTCACAATGGGGTATGAGGCCAGGGATGCTGCTAAACATCCTGCAATTCATAGGATTGCCTCCTCCAACAAAGGTTTATCCAGCTCAACATGTCAACAGTGCCAAGGATGAAAAGCTCCACGTTGGGCTGAAGAAGTGCTTCCAAGGGGCGTATGAATGGGAATGCAGCCAATTTGGTCCAAGGAACCCAAGATTTGGAGTCTGACTCACTGTACTACTACAGAAGACCAGAGTGAAGCAGAGGGCTAGAATTATGGACATTAGTTGGAAGTTGAAAAAATAGACTCCTCTCAACTTTGTACAAATACTAGGCATTTATGTTTTAAAAAGAAGAATGAAGGTTAATTCAATAAATAAACTGAATGGCCACCAAAGAGGACTTCTACTCTTCCTGAGTGACATCTGAAGCTTCCCCAGGGAAATAACTCTCTACCTGATAATTCTAAATGGTATCTACTAATGAGTAGTCCCCACTATAAAGACAGAGTTTCCACTCAGAATTTTAATACATTTTAATATTTTAATGCATCACTGTGAAATGACTGGACAACTGAGAAAATTAAGGAATATCTACAAAATGAAAAACCAAACAAAAAAACAAAGGAAGAAGAGACAATAAGAAGCAGTAAAAACTCTCTGAAGAGGAAATAACTTTAGTATTGTGTTCCTAGGAAGAAACAAAACATTACATCCATAAAATGAGAAAAAATGCAATGAAATGAAAGAGAAATAAGAAAATGCTCTTAGAAATTAAAAGTATGGGGGCTCCTGGGTGGCTCAATCAGTTAAGTTGCCAACTCTTGATTTTGACCCAGGCCATGATGTTCGTGTCCTGGGATTGGGCTCTGCGGGAGTCTGCCTGAGGATTCTCTCTCTCTCTCTCTCTCCCCCCCCTCGGCCCCTCTCCCTACCCCCATAAATAAATCTTAAAAAAAGAAAAAAAAAGAAATTAAAAATATGCATGCCCCAAAAATGTTTTAAATCAATTAAGTCAATGGGGAAAAAAGTCCAGGAAATTTCCTAGGAAAAACAAAACAAAACAAAAAACTGTTTGAAAAATAAGAAAGCATGTTTAGTACACAATAAATAGGAGGTCTAGTAAAAGCAAATTAAAAAAAGAGGGGAAATGATAAAAAAATGACAAAATTATACATAGTTGATAGATACAAGTCTCAAGACTAAAGGCGGGCCCCAAATACTAAGAAATACAAATGAAAACCTTAGTATAACAGTTTGAAATTTTACAGATAAAGAGAATTAAGGATATTCTTTGAGGCTAAGAATTATTAGGCTCAGGGAAAACAAAGATCTTAGACAAAAGAAAACAGAATTCCAGTATACTACTGGCAGTAAATAATATTTACCTGTCATAGGGAGGCAGATCAACGAAACCAGAAGCTGGTTCTTTGAAAGAATTAATAAGACTGATAAACCACTGGCCAGACTTAGCCAAAAGAAAAGAGACAGGACCCAAATTAATAAAATTATGAATGAAAGGGGAGAGATCATGACTAACACCAAGAAAATAGAAACAATTATTAGAAATTATTATCAACAACTATATGCCAATAAATTAAGCAACCTGGAAGAAATGGATGCCTTACTGGAAACCTATAAACTACCAAGACTAAAAAAGGACGAAATTGACAACCTGAATAGGCCAATAACCAGTAACGAGATTGAAGCAGTGATCAAAAACCTCCCAAAAAACAAGAGTCCGGGGCCTGATGGATTCCCTGGGGAATTCTACCAAACATTCAAAGAAGAAATAATACCTATTCTCCTGAAGCTGTTTCAAAAAACAGAAACAGAAGGAAAGCCTCCAGACTCATTCTATGAGGCCAGCATTACCTTAATCCCCAACCCAGGCAAAGACCCCATCAAAAAGGAGAATTTCAGACCAATATCCCTAAAGAATATAGATTCCAAAATTCTCAACAAAATCCTAGCTAATAGGATCCAACAGTACATTAAAAGGATCATCCACCATGACCAAGTGGGATTTATCTCTGGGATACAAGGGTGGTTCAACATTCGCAAATCAATGTGATAGAACACAGTAAGAGGAGAGAGAAGAACCATATGGTCCTCTCAACTGATATGGAAAAAGCATTTGACAAAATACATCATCCTTTCCTGATTAAAACTCTTCA